TTCATATTTCAGCATAGAAGCTTTCTTTATTGCTTATTTGCCCATTTACATATTCAAACTATACTGGTTCAGCATTGGAAGTTTTGTGCCCTTTGGGTTTTACAGTATAATTGTGAATCTTGATTTTGCTAATATCAAGACGATTTTTGAGTGTGCTCAATTTGGAATTTTCTCATCCACTTTTATTACTAAGAAATCTTGAATGTGGTTTGGTTCTTGTTAACTTGGCTTTCATTTGGGTAAACTGAAAGTTGAAGTCTTTTTGCTGTTTCTTGATGCCTGAATTTGAGTTTTCAGAAAGGGTTGATCTCTGGATGATTGGCTCTTTGAATAGGATTTTTCTATTAGTTCTGTGGATGGATGAAGTTTTATTGAATAAAGATTAGGAAATTGTAGGAATTTTAGCGTTTGAAATTTTGCTATAGGAATGATTTGGGGCTGAAATACAGAATTTCTTGGAAGGGAATTGTTAGGACTTAGGAAAATGGCTTCTACACCATCTCCAAATTCTTCTCCCACTTCAGTCCCACCGGCTCCTCCATCTCGCCCTTCCAATTCCTCAGCTTCTCCTCCACCAATTCCTCCTGCCCCACCTCAACCACCCTCACCAGATGCACCACCACCGCCGACTACTTCATCTCCCCCATTGCCTCCACCATCTCTCCCAGCTTCACCACCGCCAACTCCTCCTGCTACCCCTCCTCCTGTAGCCAATTCCCCACCACCTCCAATTTTGCCCCCTCCCCCACCATCAGAAGCTTCCCCTCCAAAAGCATCACCACCTCCTCCTCCTCATGCTATTCCACCCTCTTCTCCCCCACCATCTGAAGCTTCCCCTCCCAAAGCATCACCACCTCCTCCTCATGCCATTCCACCCTCTCCTCCCCCACCATCTGAAGCTTCCCCTCCCAAAGCATCACCGCCTCCTCCTCATGCCATTCCACCCTCTCCTCCCCCACCATCTGAAGCTTCCCCTCCCAAAGCATCACCACCTCCTCCTCCTATTCCACCCTCTCCTCCCCCACCATCAGAAGCTTCACCTCCCAAAGCATCATCACCTCCTACTCCTGCTATTCCATCCTCTCCTCCCCCACCAAAAAGTGTTCCACCACCGCCTACAGCTAATCCACCAGCCCAGTCAGTTCCACCAAAAAATTCTCCTCCACCTCCTGCATTATCACCTCCTCCTGGTTCCTCACCTTCAATTACCGCTCCTCCACCAGCTTCCATTTCATCTCCACCTCCTGTCCCATCGTCATTTTTGCCACCTTCTATAGCTCCTCCTCCCCCAAGGAATGGATCTGCAAATGGAAGTGTCCCATCTTCACCATCCCCTTCCTCCCCTGCAGCAAAACCCACTACAAGATCAATTCAACCTAATCCTAATATAACTGCAGATGTACAATCAAATAATTCTGGGGGTTCTAAAGGAGTAGCATCTGTTGGCATTGTTGTTGGGTTTTTGGTACTCAGTCTTGTAGTGCTGGCAGTATGGTTTACACATAAACGAAAAAGAAAGAAGGGCACATCTAATCTGGGAGCCATACCCTCTCGTTTGGCATCCTCGCAAAATTCTGGTACTTTTTGACTACATTCCACATCTCCTCATATAATATTTATCTTCTGTCTTGGAAAGTATTCATTAGTGTATTTAGATGAGGTTGATTAGCCCTTCAAATAGCTTTCTCGTTTAGCCAGTTGATTATATCGCGGCATTTTCCAGTATGGGTAATGTCAGCAAATATACAGCATCTCGTGCTATTAACTTGCTGTAAGAAAATATTATGATAGCTTATGCACTAACAAATACAATCCTTGGAAGAAATTGATGACCTTAGACATTTTATTCAAAAGAATTTGCTTGCGTGATGCATTTTTTCAGCATATTATATGATGAAAAGATATTTTGTTCAGTTCATCTTATTGACCAAAACTTAGCTTCAATCCCCTTAGCTTATTTAACTTATCACTGTTAAACTGCTCTTCATTGGGTTATGAAAAGGTAAATTCATCTTGCCAAGATGATGAACCCTAACTTTACAGTTAGTTAGACTGCATTATTCATTCTTTTGGAGTTATGCAACAGGCTTAACTGTGGCAGAACACAAATATTGCCTTTCTTTCCTTTAATTTTGCATTTTAGTTGTCGAACATATCTTAATAATATGAACAAGCTTCTGTCCATCTTATAAACAGTTAGTGAACGTTGATAAATGAAACTTTTTTGTGTGTGATGATAAACCATATATCTTTAAATTATTTCTAGCTTCATCATTCCTAAGGACACAGCATTCATCTCAACTAGCTGGAAGTGCTTCTGCAAGCAATTTCATGTGCTCACCGGAGCATGGTGGCATAGGCACTTCAAGGTCATGGTTCACGTATGAAGAACTATCTCAGGCAACAAATGGGTTTTCCACAATTCTGGGCTCAGGTGGCTTTGGTTGTGTTTACAAAGGAGTTCTAACAGATGGACGAGAAATTGCTGTAAAACAGCTGAAGGCTGGTGGTGGACAAGGTGAACGAGAATTTAGGGCAGAAGTTGAGATCATCAGCCGGATTCATCATCGGCATTTGGTTTCGCTTGTGGGTTACTGCATCTCTGAGCATCAAAGGTTGCTTGTCTATGATTATGTGCCAAACAACACCCTTGATTACCATCTTCATGGTAAGAAATAATTGTATTTTTAAGAATTCTAACTTTTGTGAGTTGCTCGCTCTGTTGCAATCCTGCTAAAATTGCAAATTAAATTCGGGATGGAGTACACCCTTCACTGCCAAGGATGACACGTGCAAATCAAGGAATAGTCCAAATGTTGGGCTTACTTTGTTGTTCTTTATACTCCCCTTCCCCCTGAAGAATTGTTTTGTGAGCACTCAACAATAGTGGTACAGTCATACAAACAACCCCTTTATTGTCTTAGGTTCTCTTCTTGAAG